TCCCCCCCCCTTCCTAACCACCTATCTTCTTCTTTATCCCCCTGCCCCCTACCTTCTCCCTCCCTCCCATCTTCATCATCGCCATCGACTCTATCCGTCCCATCGTCTCAACTCAGCTCAGGTCGGCCACGTGGCGGGGCGTGGTCGTTGGTCGCTGCGGAAGTGGCACCGCACGTAGATTCCCACTCCCACGCCTCCACCTTAGCGGTCGACTGAACAGTATGCAGGCGTACGAGAACGAGCCGCCCTTTGTGCGTGCCCTTGCTGGGGCCCTGGCCTCCATGTCCGGCGAGGCCGTGACGCTGCCGATCGACACCATCAAGATCCGCCTACAGCTGGCGGGCGAGGGCGGGGCTGCGGGCGGGCCGCGGCTGGGCATGGTGGGCACGGGGCGGGCCATTGTGGCTGCCGAGGGGGTGCGTGGCCTGTTCAAAGGCTTGGCTCCGGGCCTTCTGCGTCAGGCCTCGTACCAGTCCATCAAGATGGGCCTGTACGAGCCGCTCCGCGACGCCCTCCAGTCGCTCTCCATCCTCGACTCGCCCGCAGACGGCGCTGCTGCCGACGGCGCCGCCGCCGCTGGCCTCTTTGACCGCATTGTGGCCGGCGGTCTTGCCGGCTCCATCGGCGCAGGAATCGCCAATCCTACAGACCTGATCAAGGTGCGGCTGCAGGCCGATGCCTCGGGCACCCGCTACAAGGGCATGATCGACGCCGCGGCGCAGATCATCCGTTCCGAGGGCGTGCTGGCGTTCTGGAAGGGCGTCACGCCCAACATGTACCGCGCGTTCATCGTCAACGCCGCAGAGCTGGCCACCTATGACACCGTCAAGATCTTCCTGCTTGAGCGCGAGCTCATTGGCGACAACATTGGCAATCACTTTGTCTCGTCGTTCACCGCTGGCTTTGTCGCCGCCGTCACCTCGACGCCTGTCGACATCACCAAGACCCGCCTCATGAACCAGCCGACCGATCCCGCCACCGGCAAGGGTCTGCGCTACTCGGGCATGGCCGACTGCTTTGTCAAGACTGCCCGTGCCGAGGGCTTCCTCGGCCTCTACAAGGGCTTCTTTGCCACCTGGCTCCGCATCGGCCCATGGGCCGTCGTCATGTTCACCTCGTTTGAGCTCTACCGCTCTATCCTCAACTCGATGTTCAACTCCTCGGTTGTCAACGCTGCTGCCGAAGCTGCCGCCGACGACGCCGGCCTTGCCCCAACGTCCTCGCTCCGGGCATCGCCACTGACGATCTGTGGGAGCTCGAGCCGCTCGAGCCGGTCGCGCCCGTCACAGTCTCGGGCACCATCGCCGCCTCGCTCTCGCGGTCGCTGTGAGGCGCCGCGGCCTAGCCTTAAACTATCGGTTCAGTTCCTCCCCTCCCCACCCACACCGACTCGCCCCACGCCGCACTCCTGCTCCTCGGCTGGACAGATCCATCTCCAAGCAACCATGTTCGGACGCAAGCCATCTCCCAAGGGTATGCCAGTCAATGCACGGCTTGCGAGGGTGCCGGTGCGGCGGGTGTGGTGTGGTGGACGTGGTGGACGTGGTGGGTGTGGTGGGTGTGGGGGCCGTGTGAGGTGAGCCACACACAGTATGGTATGGGCAGGGCAATAGGCTCCCGCCCTTCCTCCCGCCGACCATCAGAGGGAGACTCGGTGACACCACCGGACCCTTTGTGTAACAGGTAATGGTGTTACGTGATTGTCGCTCTGGGGTTTAGCCATGGCTACGGGGTGGGTGAGATCGAGGTTGATGCGGGGAGGAGGCATGGCATGTGCGGGCGTGGAAGCGATGCTCTCGCGGCGAACTCACGGCGACGGGGAGGCTGGGGCTTGGGCGCGCGGAAATAGAACAGAGTCGGGCAGCTAAACGGAGTGTGCGTGGGGCGCAGCGTGATCTGGAGCGCGAGGCGCGGCGGCTGGAGCGGTCCGAGGCCGAGCTCATCAGAAACATCAAGAAGGCGGTAGCGCGCAAGGATCGGGCGACGGCCAAGCGGCTCTCGGTCTCGCTGGTCAAGCTGCGTAAGCAGAAAGAGCGGCTGCTCAAGGCGTCGGGTCAGATGACAGCAGTCAAACACACGATTGCGGCGCAGGACGCGACACGCGCAACCGCAAAGTCGATGGCGACAGCGACCAAGGCGCTGGCGGCGACCAACGCAGCTCTTCCGGCGTCGTCGATGACCGCCGTCGCGTCTGCGTACGCTCAGGCCTCGACCCAGATGGAAATCCAGGACGAGATGGTCAACGATGCGCTCGACTCGGCTATGGACTCGCTCTCTGACGACGAGGAGGTCGACAACGTGCTTGCACAAGTTCTTGACGGTGTCGCGCTCGACATAGGCTCGTCGATGGCAACGGTCCCGTCGCGGGCTCCGCCGAGTGCGACCTCGGTCGCCACCGGCTCCCGCGCCCAACCTAGCCGGTTGCAAGCCCAAGCCGAAGAGGATCGTCTCCTCGCCGAGCTTGCCGGGCTCTGACCGCCTCTACTAGCTCGACTCGGCCTTGCCGTCCACATCCCCCTTGCTGCCACCCGCAGATGCCGGCGCCGAGATGGAGATTCGCGCAAAGCCACGCTCGCGACGGAAACACGCCCAAAACTCCTTGTACTCGGAGAGACAGACCGGAATAAGCGAGTCCTTGTAGCACCGTAGCAGGGCCTCGTGCGGCTCGTGGCACTTGCGCAGCGCCTCGGCCTTGTCCGCGGCATTCTCCTCGGGCGTCTTGGTCTTGGCCGCCTCATACCGCGCCCGCCGCTCGTCCCTCGTTGTCTTGTAGCCCTCCAGCCACTGCGCGATCCGTCCAAACACCCCTCCATCGTCCCCTCCATCGACCCCACCGTCGGCCCCAGCCCTAGTCTCTGTCGCCGCCGCTGTCGTGCTCGCCGCCTCTGTCTGCGGTACGCTCGCCATCGTCCCACGCCAGCCCTTTGTCCCTTCCGTATGTACGACTATGTGCTTGTGTGTGAGGACTACAGAAAGTGAGGTGTAGCCAAGTGTGCCAGTGTCACCCTGCCCTTGCCAGCAACTGCTCCCTCCTTGTCCCCCCGACGCGCCCCTTCCCCTCCCCCCCCCTTCCGCCCCCCCCCTCCGACCAAACTCAATGCAAAATGCGGGCAACCAACGCCGAGATTGCGGGAGCTGTCCATTAACGGCTACTGCTCACTGCCAAACAACCCCTCCCTCCCTCCCTCCCCCCACCTCTCCCTCCCCTCCTCTCCCCCTCCCCGTCTCTCCTCTTCTGCCTCGCAACAAAGCACACGTATTCATACAATGGACGGCTTGCGCAAGGCACGTGCTGCGCGGGTGTCGTCGGCGTACGCACGCGAGCGTCGGCGGGCCGCCCGCGACAGCATGCATCCGTTGACGACCGGCAAGCCCGCTCGCGAGTGGGACGCCTCGCCGCCGTACCCGCACGCCTCGCCGCCGGGGGTGGCTGCCCGCCATCGCCGTCCTCGCCCAAGGTCACATGCTACCCCCCGCGGGCGAGCGCTCCGGTCCTTCCGCCGCAGTACAAGTACTCGCCCGAGGCGCTGGCGGCCGATGCGGCTGCTGTGGCGGCTGCCCGGGCTGCTGCTGCGGCGGCGCTGCAGGAGAGGCTCGATGCCGTGCTCGACGAAGTGCTGGAGGCGAACCCCGACATGCCGCTGAAGGCGCGTTGCGAGCTACGTGACTCGATTGCGCAGGTTCTGGCTGCAGAGGCCGGGGCGGACGCCGCCGACATCGACGACGCCGATGCAGCTCATGCAGCAGACGCGCGGGATGGCGAGCAGGAGGCCACGATCCCGCCGCGTGAGACTGGGAGCCACTGGTGCACCTCGACTGCTCGCCGTCGCGAGTCACTGCTCTATCCTGCCCATCCACAGCCGTTTGACGACCCAGATGCGCTCGCAGCTGCAGGGCCACCCGAGGCCTCGCCGCGGCTCACTGCGGCGTTCAAGGCGCAGCTGGAGGGCCACCTGTCCCAGGAGGCATACAATGCCATTCTGCACGGTGCACGGGAGCCCGATGCTGGCCGCGCCTCGTCGGTCTGGGACCACTACCCAAGATCCGCGACGCCCGCAATCCGCATGCCCGACTCGCCGCCATCGAGGCCGAGATCATGGCTGGCGATGCTGTCAGCAGCGCTCCGGACGCCACCACTGAGTCGGACGCCATTGTCGGCGCCAGAGTTTTCTCCCGCACCGAGGCCCGTGCGATGGGCCACGCCGCCGCCGACGACGACGACGCAGCCGCCGAGCTCGGCCTCCGCTCCATTCTCTGGCGTGATGAGGTCGAGACCGATCACGGCAGCATCGAACACTTTGAGCGCCGCCGCGAGCGCCTCGCCCGCCCTATGCATCCTGGCGAGCTACAGCTCGAGGCCTACGACATCTTCCTCGAACAGCTCCGTCGCCGCGAACGCGAGATCGTCAAGCGTAAGCGCATCCAAGAGCTGGAGAACTTGCGCGGACCCCGTCCAGGCTGGTATGCTCTCCGCGATGCCTCTTTCAACGATGAGCTCTGCCGGCATAACGCCCTTCTCCGGTCCTCCTCAGCCGAGTGGGCCTCCCGCATGTCATACTCTAACGAGCTCCTCTCTGCGCCGCTTGGCTGACAGCCGTAAAAGTATTGGACAGCATCCAATATTCACTGTTCTCTGTGTGATCGCCGCCGTCTCCAACAAATTGATGAGACCAATTCACGCGTTCCTGGCAATCCTTTGCAACATGCCCACTCCCTGGGCCCCACGCCACCGCCCCTTCCCCCCTCCCCTCCCACCGCAGCCCGACTCGAGACACGGTGTGCCTTCCACTTGCCTCCACCCCACCCCCACCCCACTCCCAGACCACGTTTACAACCCCCTACTATGGGCACACAGGTGGCATGCTCCACCTCACACGCCCTTGTCCTTGTCATCATACTCCTGGTCTCTTCGCTCACAGCCGCAGCTCTGGAACTGTACGGTGCTGGCTCGGCTCTGGTCCTCACCCCGGCTCCCGAGGCTTCGGACCAGGCTCGCGCGAGCTTCACCCTCAAACCGCTACCCACGAACTTGCCGTCATCAACACCTTGGAGCCTCTCGTTTGACGTCTACCCGCTCGCTCCCCCAGACGCGCCGCTCGCCGCCGCGCCGCTCGTCGCCGTCGCCGCATCGGTTTCGTCTCCGGACCCGCTCCTCGCCGCCTACCTGGCTCCGCCCGATGTGTCTGCCTACATGCCACGCGAAGCTGCACAAGCCGCCGCAGCCGCAGCACCACTGGGTCTCTCCGTCTCGGCTGCTCTTGGCCCGCATTCTCCATCCGGTCTCGTCCTCGACCGTCTCGTCTGGTCCTCCGTGAGCTTGGTCTGGCAGCCGTCCTCTGCTCTCCTCACCGTCACTGTCGGCTCCAGCTCAACCGTACTCGCTGTTGCTAGTGATCCAGCCAGCCGCACTACGCTCAGCGAGCTTGTCATCACACTCGGCGGCGCTGGTGCCCACGCTGCTGTCGACAATGTCCGCCTGGCCGACGCCCCGGTCCTTTGCTTTGACCACCCTGACGCCTTCAGCAATCTTGGCCTCGCTGCTGCTTGCGGGCCAAAAGTCTCCCTTCCTTCGTCTGGAGTATTTTCACGGGCCCCGTCGCTCTCGCCCTACTTTTCCGTCCGCCCGTTGGCCACCGCCGAGCTCGGCTCCGCCGCGCCTACCGGCCAGGCCAACGTCCTCGTTCCCGACACCACCAACTCGGTAGGATCACTCCCGGTCAGCCTCACTGCCTCTGCTGGTGAAGAGCTTGTTGTCGCGGCCTGGGTTGCTGGCCCGTCACGCCTTGCCTCGATCACCCTTCCCGGCCTCACGCCGCTTCCACTCGACGTCCACACTCCTGGTGTCTGCACCAACCTCACATCGACCACTCTAGACGCTGACTCCTTGCCGTTTGGCATCGAGCTCGACACCGGCTCGCTGGCAACCTCCATCCTGCTCTTTGACGCCTCACCGGCCTTTCTGGCGTCGCGGTGCTCACTCGGCAATGCTGCGTGCGTCAATGCCACCGATCTCGTCTCGGCAGGTGCACTTCCGGCTGACACAAGCTGCATCCTTGTGCCGTACCCCAGCTCAGCGTCATGCCCGCCGGCCAACGCCACTAGTTGTCCGTTTGTTGAGCTTGACGCCACGGCCCACTCGTGGACGCTTGTCAGCACCGAGCAGATGCCCGCCTCACCGTCGGCACCACCGCCGCTTGCCATCCTCGTCGACGCCATGTCCGAGGCCTCGGCGCCTGATCCGGACTCGCCGCGACTTATCCCCCTCACAGCTGTCGTCCTCACCGCCGCCGAGCTAGCGCCAACTGTCGGCCTCCCGCTGCTAGAGCTCCCGCTCCCGATCGGGTTTGCCGGCGGCTTCTACGCCTGGACTTCGCCGTCGGTGCTGACGCCGCTCGCTGCCGCAACCCGCCTTGACAACAGGCTCGCGCTGCTCCACACTGTTGTGGCAGTTCCGTCGCAGGCCTCTGCGCTTCCGCTCGCTCGCTTTGCTGTCAACGCCCTGCTGCCGCGCGGCACGCTTGCCCTCTCATTCGCAGCATCGGTCATTGTCCCGCCTCCTGCCTTTGCACCGGACAGTACCGCTGCACTCCGGCTCAACAGCATGCGCACGCTCGACTCGCTCACCAGCCATCTCCTTCCGGGCCTCTTCGCCACCGGCGCTCCGTCGCTTTGTGTCGAGACCTGGATCCACTTTCCCGCTGATGCCGCATGTGCTACTGGCACGCTTATCTCGCTCAACGCTACCGGTGCTGGCGATCCGCGCGTGGATCTTGTCCTCACCTGCTCCGGGGGTAACACGTGGGTGCCTTCGCTGCGGCTACACGATCCGGACGCCGATGCGACAGTGGTGCAGTCGCTGCCAGGCTTTGCACCCGCTGTTCGCAACGTTCCGGTCCATGTTGCCCTCACGCTGCTTTCGGGCACCCATGTGCGGGTAGTGTGGAGTAACCAAGTCCTCGCCGCGGCGCCGCAGACGGCCACGTTTGCAAGTGACGAGCGTCGGGTCGACGGCGTTGCCCTCGGCCGCGCCTTTTCTGGAGGAGACGCACTTGACATTGAGCTCGATGCCGTGCGTCTCTGGCCTGCCGACCGGACCGTCGACGACATCGCCGCTCGTGCTGGCACCCGCCTTCGTGGCTCGCATCCCTCTCTTCCCTCTGCCACGCTCCACTTTGACGATCTGGATCTGATCGCGTCACCTCTGCCGCCTGGATCTAGTGGAGCGGTTAGTGTTGTCACTGCCTCGACAACCAAGCCACTGTCGCTTGTGCGTGCCGCTGGCGACGCGCCGCTGGCCCCGCTGTTGGTGCCCGGCTTTGTTGCCCTCAACGCCTCGTACGTCATGATTGAGCAAGCGAGTGCGCTCATTGGCTCCTACTTTGACACGACCTGGCCGCTTCAGGCTTCGTTCGGCTCTGCGGTCTTCCGGCCCATCATGTTAGTCTCGGAGCCGGTGGCCGGCACGACCAGCCACGCGCAGCCGATGCTGGTGGCGACGCGGGAGAATCGGCTGGGCTCCTGGGACCGGTTTGTGGCTCCGGGCGCTGTTTTACTACCGTCAACCGCAGCAACACTCGCCTTTCGCGCCAACACAACCATCGCCTCGGCCTTTCTGGCCAGCGTCCTCGATCCCGGTGCAGGCAGCTCGGCCACCATGGCTGAGCTACAGGCTGCGTGTGCGGCGTCATCGGACATTACCTGCTCTCCAGACCTGGGTCCGTTTGCCGGCCTCGCTCTTCGCGTCGTTCTAGAGTCTGGCGCGTGGATCGGCTTTAATGGCGCCCTCAACGCACCGACCTATGCCGCCAACGTCTCGCTGGCAATTACGTGCCCGCCGGAAACCCCGTTCCATGTTGTTGTCACAAGCGAGTCGGTCACCTCTGAACGCATCGTTCTGGCTTCGACACTGGCAGGCATCGGCCCGACGACCATCAGCGGCACGGAAGTCCACATTCCACTCGCCATGCTCCCGAGCTCGCGATACTTTCGCGAAGAGTTGACTGTCCACCTGTACACGCTCCCGCACTTGCTCTCCAGTGTGGTCCTTGATGGAATTTTGGTCTCTGCTGCGCTCATTGATGCCCCGAACGCCATTCTTCCCGAGCCACACGGCTTTGGTGTTTACACGTCGCCGTTTTTCGCCTCGCTTCCGCCCCCTATTGCGCTCGAGTATGCACAGCTGCCGCTGCTTACCAACGGCTACGCACTCGACTCCTCGGGTGGCGGCGCGTACCGGGCCGACATTTCGGTGGACAACACCAACGACCCTCCAGACCCCATCTCGAGGATGGCCAACATTGGGCCGCTGTTCTTCGGCTTGGCCGACAACACGATCACAGCCGCCAAGCCCGACACCATTGTTGTGTCGGCCGCTGACGAGCACCAGTCACAGTTTGAGTTCCGCATCGATGACTTTCCCGCCTCGGCGACCTGTACGTTGATGACGTGTTGATCACACCGGCTACGCTGATTCCGTCGGCACTAGTCTCGGGCGGCGTAGAGATCGAGTACCGGCCGCATGGGGCAAGCCTCGCCGACTTTCCCGCCGGCGAGGCCGTCGACTCATTCCGCTTCTCGGCGTTCGACAACCTAGAGTGGTCGCTCGCTCCAGGTGTCATCACCATTACCATCCCGTGCCCACCACGATACGAGGCGCGCGGAGGGCGCTGCGTCCATTGCGTGGCCGGCACTGTTCAGAGTCAGATCTCGACCGGGCTCTGCGGCGCGTGCGATCCGGGCACAACGTCGCGCAACGCGTCCACGTCTTGCAGCAGCTGCAACGCCGGCTCGTATGCACCCACTGCCGGCATGGGCTCGTGCCTCATCTGCCCCGCCGGCACGACGTCGTCGACAGACCGGTCGCAGTGCTTTCTGTGCTCGCCCGGCAGCGTTGCACCTCTACCTGGCGAGCCGATTTGCTCGCTCTGTCCGCTCAACAAGTACGTGGAGGAGGAGGGGCAGTTAGAGTGCAAGGATTGCCCAGCCAACACGATAACGATCGACTCGGGGACAGGAAATGTGACCCAGTGCCTCTGCCGCCCTGGATACTACACGCTCGACGGGCCCGGTACCGCATGTCACGCTTGCCCACCCGGCGGCGTATGTGCCGGGGGTCTTGCTGTTCCGCGCGCAGACGCTGCCTATTGGTCGCACCCAGACGATCCGTACACCTTCTTCCTATGCCGGTCGAAGGACGCATGCCCCGGCGGCGAGCCCGGTACATGCGGCTTTGGGTACCAGGGTGCCATCTGCTCGGCGTGCATTTCCGGCTTTTACAACTCTGGCTCGGTCCTCAAGGGAGCGCCACAGTGCACACGGTGCACAGCGCTGGCCAACATCTCGCTCCCGCTCACGATTGCGGTCTGCTTTCTCCTCTCGTTTCTAGTCTTTAAGATCTCGAACCGACCGGCGCTGGCTGGTCTCCGAACAGCGCTCTCGATCTCGACCTCGCTGGGGCTCTTGCTAACGTTCCTCCAGGTGCTGGCCGTTTTTGACGGCTTTAACGTCTCGTGGGGCTCGGCGAGCAGGCTTATGTCGTTTGTGGGCATCGTGGCTCTTGATCTATCGGTTTTTGTCGCCCCCGAATGCATGTTTGGGGAGGTGAGCTTCCTGGAACGGTACATGACGTTGGTGGCCATGCCGCTTCTCTGCCCGCTGTTCTTCGCCTTGCTTTATGGCGGAACGGCGCTGGTTATCCGTGTTCTGCAGCGGCGGAGCGGTTCTGGGCGTGCGATCGTGCCGCCAGCCTGTCTGGGAACCGGTTTGCGGACCTGGTGTATGTACCCCACACAAGTCTCGTTGGACAAGATCATCAACTCGCTGCTGGTCATCTCGGACGTGCTGTACATCTACATGTCACAGGTTGCCTTTCTCCTCTTCCAGTGCTACGCACAGCCCGACGGGACTGCGACGCTCAAGGCCTACCCTGCCATCACGTGCTACACGCGCGAGTGGGCGGAGCACCTGCCGGTTGCCATCTGCGCCATGGCGGTGTACACGGTCTTCATTCCGGCGTTTTTCCTCTACGTCATCTGGGTGGCGCCAAAACAGTATCGCGCGCCGAAGTTTATGAAGCGACACGCACACTTGTTTGTCCGCTTCCAGCCACGGGTCTACTACTGGTCGCTCAACGCGATCGCGCGTAAGTTTATTGTCACGATTGTCATCCTCACCATGATCCGCGATCCCGTCCAGCAAGTCCTCACGGCCATGCTCCTCATGCTCATCTCGTTGGTGGCACATCTCCTCACCCAGCCGTACTTTATCGATGTGTGTAACCATCTCGAGACATACTTGCTGAGCGTGTGTATCCTCGTCCTAGCTATCGCCATGCTCATGATCAAGGACATCGGCTCGAATCGGGTCTCGTACCTAGACACACACCCGGATCTCCACCACGGGCTGGACATTGCGCTCTCGATCCTCATCGGCTCAGCGTTTTTGGCGGCTGCTGGAGTTCTCTTTTTGTGGTGTACATGGCCATCCGGCGGTCGTCATCCAAGACGATAGTGGAGAAGGAGAACATGAAGGACAAGGCTGTGCGCGCGGACATGATCCTCCTTGCTCGCGAGATGGTCAAGCCCGAGCTGACCAAGTTTATTGTGCAGGACCAGGAGACGTGGGGCCTGCTGCCCGAGGGCGAGCGGCGCCAGCTGCGTACTGCGTTTGACATTGTGGCACAGGTCTACCTCGGATACGAGGGGCACGCGACTCGGGTCATGAACTCACTGCATACCGACGACGACTCGCCGCGTGAAATGCGCCGCAACATCTCGTTTGCCGCCCATCAGCTCGCACGGTTCTCGTCGTCGTTCCGCATCGAGGAAGACGTCGACGTCACTGCCTACGCCTCGTCACACATCCGGACCCGCAACCATTCGCTGTCTTCGGACACTCATGGACAATCGCCACTGCTGGGCAACAAGAGCCTCTCTCTCGGCGACGAACTTGTCAACACCTCGTGTCTCAGCCCAAGCCCCGACAAGTACCATTCCGGCTCTGATACAGCCACCGACCTCGAGACTGTGATTGAGGTCAACCGCCCACCGCTGCTCCTTCCTGGCGCCGTCGCCGTCTCGGCCTCGTCGTCGCCGAGCATGACCCGAAAGACCTCCGAGTACAAGAATGGTGGTCTGCTCCCGACAGGCAGCGAAGGGGGCTCGCCCCAGCCGTTGTCACCTTGCTCGAGCTCAGAAGAGCCGGCAGAGGCTCGCCCCGAAGGTGCCGCAGCCTCCAACGGTTTGGGTGGTGCTGACAAGACCGGCGGAGCCACAGAGGGAGCTACTGGAGCCGCTGGAGCCGCTGGGGCTGTTGCTGACGCCGATGCGGATGCCTCCTCGGTTCTCTCGTCGATATCTGGTGATGACGACGGCGATGATAGTGACTCTGAAGATGCAAAGGTCAGTGCTGACATGGCGGCAGCTCTTGCTGTCCTAGCCTCGCCCGGGGAGGGACCCGGAGTGGGGTCTGGAAGCGGAAGCGGTTCCAGCTCTGGCTCTGGCTCTGGTTCGGGTCCAGGCTCTGGCTCTGGCTCTGGCTCTGGCTCTGGCTCTGGCTCGGGTTCCGGCTCTGGCTCGGGTTCAGGTCCGGGTTCCGGTTCCGGATCTGGCTCTGGCTCTGGCTCCAGCACCGGATCTGGCTCTGGCTCTAGCTCTGGTTCCGGCTCGAGCTCGGGCACCGGTTCCGGTTCCGGCTCTCCGGCAGGCACATCTCCGGCTCCCAGTGAGGCCACGATCGGGCTCCTTGTCCACAACGCGACAGCATCTGAGTTTGCCGAGTCGGCCTCGATGTCCCGGATGAATTCAACGGACCTACTCGACGCACACATGCAACCTGTGACCAAGCCGACCGACTCGCTGACGCGGATTGCACCTGCCACCATGTCTGGGGCGTCACTCACGGAGGGCCGCGGCTCGGTCTCGTCAGTGGGCTCAAGCGGGCGCAAGTCGCCGCTTATGGACTTTAAGCTGAGCGGAGCGTCGGATCGACGGTTCTCGGCAACAGAGCACATCAAGGAGACCAAGTCACTGTACCACCAGTCTGGAAACGAGTTGAAGCGAATGGTGGAGGGTCGACGTTCGTCGCTGGTGGCATCGTCGCAGCAGCGGCGGCGGGCAGGGCCGACAAGCAAGAGCAAGAAGGCGCGTGCTGCAAGCGTCCGACGCAAGATGCAAAAGTAAAGCGCGGCTAGCCGGCAAGACTCATGAGGTTGCCGATAAAGGTCAGGATCATGCGCTCGTTAACCTCACAGATGTCCTCCCAAACGAGGAAGACCTGGGCGCCGAGCTTGCGGGCGACTCCAATGGCATACTTGGCGTTGAGCATGGCGTCCTCATCTGACTCGCCCGGCGTGACCAGGCTGTAGTCGACAGCGCGCGGCTTGATGGCGTAGAGAAGGTCGATGAGAAAGTGCGAGGTGCTGAGGGTGCGGTCCTTGAACGAGCGGATGGACGAAGCCTTGCCCGCAGCAGCGACACGGTCGTTAGCCCAAGCGAGTACGTCGTCGTCGGAGACCTCGCGGCCCTCAAACTTGAGGTTGCGGATGATGTTGAGGACGTTAAACCGCATGAGCTGCCAGAGAATGGCAAGAGTGAGCTTGCGATTGCCGCGGGCAAAGTCCTGACCGTCGATGCCGACGACAACGCACTTGAGCGATTTTGCCAGCGACACACCGTAGTTGCAGTTTTCGACGAGCTTGAAAGCGTTGAGCCTGGTCGTGTTGACCTTGGCCCACTTGACAATGCCCGGCTCGATGGCATCCTCGATCTGGAGCATGGCCAGGCCGTCCTTAAAGTCCTCGTCGAGCTCGCGCACCTCCTTCTCAATGCCAAGCGACATGATCCAGAGACGGAACATGCGCTCCTCGCGAGTGCCCTCCACGTCGGTGATGGTGATTTTCTTCATCTCCTCCTCCTGGCCCGAGGTGACCTCAAGGCCGGTGTTGAGGGTAAAGAGCATGGCGAGAGTGAGCAGGTTGGCTGATGTGGCGCTCGAGGTCAGGCTCTCGACCGAGGCGAACGGGACCAGGGCGACTGCGGCGAGGGCGGCGACAACAGCGGTGCAGCGCGCGGCGTCAGACGTGGCCGAGTCTAGGAAACTGACAGGGTCGGCGGCGAGCGCCTTGGCCTCGGTCGATGATGAGGCAGCGAGCCTGTCGGCAAAGAGCTTGGCGACAAGGATGCCGATGGCGCGGCCGTCGGCGAGGGCGTCGGCAAAATTGGCAACTTCGGGGCCGGTCACACCCGAGGCGGCGGCAGCGGATGACGAAGACGCACCGGCGCCGGCGCTCATGTGGTGGTTGACCCACATGAGGAGAAGCTCCTCGGGTGGGATGCGGGAAAACTTCTTGAGCTCCATGGACCGCGGCTTGAGCGCGAGGAGCTCAGGGTGCGAGGTGATCGAGATGCTGGAGAGGAGGCCGGCCTTGACGATCTCACGAGCGAGCTTGAGAATGACCGGGACCTTACCCTGATGAATGTCGCCGGCTTTGATGGAAAAGACTGAGGCGCCGATGGCCTGGGCAGAGGCGAGGCAGAGCTGGTTGTTCTCGATCATGTCTTCTTCGTCGGCAACGCGGAGCTTGATGACACGCTCGTCAATAGCGCCCGGCTTGACGGCATTGAGAAGCTTGCAGAGGAGAACACCGTCGATGGTGGCTGTGGCGACCTCCAGGGCGCGGAGGCCGAGCGGGAGGAGGTGGGCAACAGATGGATCGTCCTTGAGCACTCCGTTGATGTAGACGACGAGGGCAGCGTCGGCGCCCTCGAGCGCGTAGTCCTGGACCGAGGCGAGGCGGGCCTGAGCGGCAGCACGCTCGGCATCCAGCTTGGCCTGCATGGCGGCAAGCTCGTCGGCCGACATAGCTGACGATGCTTCCAGCTGTTCGCGCTTGGCGCGTTCGGCGGCGAGCGCAGCCTCGAGCTCAGCGAGCTTGGCGAGCGCGTCGTCGCGCTCGCCTTCGACAGTGGTCTTGGCCACAACTTCGGTCTTGAGCTCAACTTCAAGCGTCTCGGCTTGCTCGGTAAGGTGAGACACCTTTTGCTGCAGAGAGGTGACGGCGTCTGAGTCAGCGGCGGTGGCTGCGGCGAGCGCGGCTTCAAGCTCAGCAGTCTTGGAAGCGGCGGCGTCGCGCTCGGCAGCAAGGGCAGCAAGGGCAGCTTCCGACTCTGCCTGCTGGGCGCTGCACTCGGCGAGGTGGGCATCAAACTCGGCGCGGACGGCGTCGCGCTCGGCAGTCATTGACGCCACGTTGGCCTCCGAGGCTGCGAGCTGGGCGCTGAGCTTGGAGAGCTCCTCACCGAGGTCACCAGACGCGCCGCGGAGAGCTTCCAGCTCAGCAGCAGCAGCCGCAGCCGCAGCGTCGGCGTCGCTGCGGGCTGTCGCTAGGTCGCCTTGCAGCGACTCGATGGTGGTGGTCTGGGTGGCGGCGAGCGCATTGGCGGCCTCAAGCGAAGCTGTGAGACCGGCGACTTGGCTCTGCAGCTCGGTGCCGGAGCCCTCGAGGGCGCCGAGTTGGGCGGTGGCGGCCTCGAGGCGAGCGGCGAGGTCGTCGCGCTCGGTCTTGACGGCCTTGGACGCCGCGAGCAGGGCCTCGAGCTCCTCAATGCGGGCCTGCTTGGTTGCTACGGTAGCGTTGGCTGTCTCGAGCTCTGTCGAGAGGGCGGCGACCTGGGTCTTGCGCTTCTCTTTGTCGGCGGCAAGCTTTTCGGAGAGTGCGGCAACGAGGGCCTCGGACTCTTCGAGGCGACCGGAGATGCTGACAAGCTCCTCCTTGAAGGCCTTCAGCTTTGCAGCCTTCTTCTCGAGTCCGCCGGCGAGGACGTCGCGCTCGCGCGAGAGCGCCTCCTGGTCGGCAAGCAGCTGGGTAATGGTCTCCTTGGCGGTGGTGTACTTGGCCTTGGACTTGGCCAGGCGGGCGTTGGCCTCGTCGACCACACCGGCAGCACTATCGCGCTCGGTTTCGAAAGCAGCGCGCTCGGCCTCGAGCTCGGCCTTGAGCTCGTTGTACGCGGCCTTGGCCTTTTCGATGCGGGCAGTGGAGGCAGCGAGGGCCGACTCGGCCTGCTTGAGGTCGGCGGTGAGCGAACGCATGTCCTCGCGGGTGGCCTCGGTCTCGGCGTGCGCGGCGGCGAGCTGGTCCTTCAGCTGGGTGACCTGATCAGAGAGCGAGTCGCCGAGAGAGGCCGAGGTGGCCTTGAGGCGCTCGAGCTGGGCCTCGAGGCCGGCAATGGTCTCCTTGTCAAGCGCAGCCTGGCGGGCTGTGTCCTTTTGGAGAGCCACAAGCTTGGCGTTGGTGGCCGAGAGCGAGGCAGACCGGGCGTCGAGGTCGGCGTTGAGCGAAGTGATGGATGAGAGGGCCTCCTCGTGGGCAACCTTGAGCGTGGCAAGCTCGACGCTGACGACCTTTGCGGCCTCGACTTTGTCCTCGAGCGAGGCGATGGTGGTGCGCGCGAGGGTGAGGGCGGTATCGCGGTCGGCCAGCTCGCCGTTGAGGGCGTTGATGTCAGCCTCGAGCTTGGCGATGCGCTCGGCGCGAACGTCGACGACCGACTCGCCGAGGTCTTCGAGCTCGCCACGAAGCGAGGCGGCGTCGGAGCCAGCGGCGGAGGAGGCAGCAGCGGCAGCAGCCGAGGCAGCGTCAAGGACAACGTTCTGGTGGGCGGTCTTAAAGTTGAGGTACTCCTCGGACGTCTCCTTGAGGGTTTTCTTCAGCTCGTCGATGGCCGACTGCTGCTGGTCGATAGTGGAGAGGCGCTCCTGGAGCTCGGCGTTTTCGGCGCCCATGGCCATAATGCGCTTCTTGAGGAACTTGATCTGCTCCTCCTGGTCGGCACGTTCGGTAAGGGCCGAGTCCTTGACCAGCAGCGCGTTCTGGGCCTCGGAGAGCTCGTCCTGGTACTCGGCAATGGTCTTGAGATTCTTGCGGTGCTGCTCACGGAGCTTCTCCACATCCTTGGACGAGGTTTCGAGCGAGGTGGTGAGCTCCGAAATGGCGGCTTGCTTGTTCTCGAGCTCAGTGAGAAGCTCGCGCTTTTCCTTGTTCAGAACTTCGATGGTGCGGAGCTCCTTGCGGAGCTCGAGGTACGAGGCGTTGAGAGCATTAAAGTCATCGACGGCTTTTTGACGACGCTCTTCGGTCTGCGAGCCCTTTTCACGGAGCATGGCAAACTCGGAGGCGAGGTTTGCAATCTTCTCCTTGAGTGCCGTGTTGGACGAGGTGAGCTCCTGGATGCGCTCAAAGGCCTTTTCGGGCGAGAGGTCTTCGGTGGAGATCTCTTCGTCGCCAGCGGAGCGGCCGAGGAGCGAGGCCGACGAGGCGCCACGGTTGAGACCCAGGCGGCGGGCCTGGAACATGAGAAAGTCTTCGATGGAAATAGTTCCGGTGCCGGCCGGGTCAAGGGCCTTGATATGCTTGCGGAGCTGGGGGCGCGACGGCTTTTCGCCGAGCTCGCGAAAGACGGCAGCGAGCTCGGCGACCGGGAGCGCGGCACCATCGCCGAGCGAATCGAATGCAGCCTCTATGGCGGCGACGGTGGCTGACGGGAGGGCCTCGCGGGCGGCCCTGAGCTTGAGCGCGCGCATCTCGGGCGTCATGGCGGCGGAAAGCGAGGCTGTGGCCGAGGCCTGCTCAGCCTTGGCGTCGAGGATGATCTGGCCCATGCCGCCGTGGAGAAACTCGTCAAAGTCGACGGCACCGTTGCCGTCAGCGTCGAGATTGCGCATGAGCGCCTCAAGCTCGGCCGGGTCGGGGACTTGGCCGAGGGTGAGGAGGATGCCTTCGAGCTCGTGGATGTCGATCTCGCCCGAGCCGTCGACGTCAACCTCGTTAAAAATGTCGCGGATGATGGCGATCTGCTCGGGGGTGTACTGAATCTGTGCGGCAGCGGCAGCAGCGGTGGGACTCATCTTGCCAAGCAGCAGGTTACCCATGCCGGCGAGGAACTCGTCAAACTCGATCTCGCCCGAGCCGTCGGTATCCATGGCGGTGAACATGGCATCGAGCGAGTCGTCATCAAGCTCGTGACCAAGCTGGACAAGGAGGGCGCGGAGCTCGTCTTTGTCGACATCACCTGAGCCGTCAGCGTCGCAGGCTTCAAAGATAGCCCTCAGCTTGGCCATTTCTGCAGGCGAAAAGGGAGCATCGTCGTCGTCACCGCCGCCTGCATCACCAGCAGCCTCGCCTGCTGACGAACCAGCAGGGGCCGAGACAACGCCCAGCTGAATAAGGACCGGGCCCATGCCCTTGACAAACTCTTCAAAGTTGAGGTCACCCGACCTGTCTTCGTCAAGTACGTCAAAGAGTGAGGCGAGGGCGTCGGGCTCCAGCGCCTGGCCCATGGCCTCGAGAGCAGCACCCAGCTCTCCCGGAAGGAGCACCCCATTACGGTCGGTGTCGCATGCTTCAAACGCAGCCCGGAACTCGGCGAGCTGCGTCTCCGAGTACTCCTCCGTCATGGTGTGTGGGAGTGGAGGATGTGCGGGGGGGGAGGGGGGGTATGGATGCGAGTGCGGTGTGTGTGTGTGAGAAGTGGGGGGGGTGGGGCGGGGGGTGGGGGGAGGGGTGCCTGTCGTTGGCGTTCGGCGGAACGGCAGCGGGTGTGCGTGGGCTGGGGAGGGAATGATTTAGGACTTGGCGAGGGTAGAGGCTAGGAGATCAACGAGCTCGCGCTTCTCGATGCAGGATGAGTAGTCTGCGCCGAGGGCAGCGAGGGCACCCTTGAGCTCCTTGACGGAACAGGAGGCGAGCTCATCGGCAGACTTACCGCGGACGGCATCCACGCGGGCTGCCTTGACAGCGGCCTGGCGGGCGGTGTTGGCCTGCTCGGCCAGCGCAGACTCAAAGGCTGGCTCCATGGGATGGCCGGTGTAGACGACGTTACCGGCGGCGTCGATGACGGTGGCAAAGGGGATGCCGCGCATGCCGAGGCCAGCCTGAGCTGCTTCGACCTCACGATCACTGTCGGAGGCGACGGTGTACGACATCTGGCTGCCCATCTTGGCCACAAACGGCTTGATCTTGGACGGCGGCTCTGCCGAGACGCCGACGACGGCCACCTCGGGGTACTTGGCCGCCAGCTCAGAGAGGTGGGCAATCGAGGTCCGACACGGCCCGCACCATGTCGCCCATGACTCAACACAGAGCGGTGCTTTGCCGAGCAGCTCCTCCACACGTGCCTCGCCTTGCACATATTCCAGCCCAGAGACCTTGGGGAACGCACTGCCAACTCCAGATGCTGCCATCCTGATGTGGGGGATGAGTGTATTTCGACCTCCTCTCCTCTCCTCCCCCTCCCCCCCTCGGCTCTCCTCGCTCTTGGGTCGGTCGGTGCCGCGGCCGTGACTCATCCGGTTCGGGGCGACCGCGCGACCCGGCCTGCGAAGACAGCCTTTGCCTGGAACCACTACTCGACTTGTCTGGGAGCCAAAGCTGAGATCGTGCGACGCCTGCGTCGGCGCGACAGATCCCCTGGGTTTGACCACTTACCAAACCCTGGCGGAGCGTGGCTTTCCTCCTCCCCCCCCCCCCCCCACCCCACTACCACCACCAGACCAGCCAGCCGATTTGATCGGTTGCGCCACCGCCGGCCGGCCACCGGCCATCGCTGGCCGGCCGCCGCCGGCCACCGGTCACTGGCCACTCGTCGCTGATCCACATGTCTGAGGAAGAGAAGGAGAGCGGGGCGGGTGGACGAACACGGGTCCGTGTCAAGACAAAGACCCGCAGGCGGAAGCCCAAGGTCGTCATCTCCAAGCAACAGGACTTTAGTGTGTATGTATGGGGGGGGGAGGGGGAGAGAGACTGAGGAGGGGGAAGGGGGAGAGGGGAAGGGCGAGAGGGGGGTTGCGGGGGAGGGGCCGACGGAATACCGCAAGCGAACAGAAGGAGGGCAAGGCTGGTGTAGGCATGGGCATGGACTCACATACATGCTGGGGAGGTGGTGGAGATAGGACGCCAACAGGGACGTATGTGGATAAGGTACACAAGGTGGCAATCTCGCGAAAGGGCGTCCAGTTTACAGACGCAGGCGGGCAAGACGGAGCGAATGTGGCGGAGAGTGGCACGGCGTCTGCCTCAAGGTCGACGGGAGAGGCGCAGGCACAGGTGGAGATGATGTCGTTTGGGGCCGATGAAGGCGGCGATGGGCCAGGAGCAGGTATGACCCTGGGCGATCTGGAGGTAGTGGGCGAGGCCGGGAGTGGTGGGTGTGGGACGGTGTTCAAGGTCATCGACAAGCGGACTGCCGAGGTGTATGCTATGAAGACAGTGCGACTTGAGGTGGCAGACAAGGTGAGGGCGCAGATCATGCGCGAGCTGCGGACGCTGGACACTTGCCGGTCGGCGCCGGGCGTGGTCGACTTTGTGGCCGCCTTCTTTGCTGACGGCGAGATCAACATGGTCATGGAGTACATGGATGAGGGCTCGCTCCTCGACGTTTACCGCGCTATTGGCCCGTTACCTGAGCCGTTTATTGGCGCCGTCGCCGTCGCTGTCCTCGACGCGCTAGCCTTTCTGCACGGTCACGGCATCATGCACCGGGACGTCAAGCCAGCCAACATCCTCGTCAACTCGGCCGGCGTCGTCAAGGTCTGCGACCTTGGCGTCTCGGGTGCGCTCATCAACTCTCTGGCGTCGACCTACGTTGGGACCGTCACCTACATGGCACCTGAGCGTATCGAATCCAGCGGTGACGGTGGGTACACCATCAAGGCTGACGTTTGGTCGTTTGGCGTCACCCTCGCCGAGCTTGCTCTCGGCCGCTACCCCTACCCGCTAGCACCGTACGGCGAGTTTCCGCCGCCTCGAGACCTCTCCATATGGGACGCGCTCAAGCTTGTTGTTGGTGGCGAGACGCCGGTAACCTCCTTCATTGCCGAGGGTGCGCCGTTCTCGACGGCCTTTGTCGACTTTGCTGCCGCCTGCCTCGTCAAGGATCCTGCCGCCCGCGGCTCGCTCGACGACCTCGTCAACTCGCCGTTCATCACATCCGCCCGAGCCACCCCTGCCGACGTTGTTGCCTACCTCGCCACACATGGCCCGACCTCTGCTGCCACCGGCGACAGTACCTCGCGGGCCAGCGACCAGGCCCAGGCCCAGGCCCAGGCTCAGACTCATGCCGATGCGTCCGACGCCAGCACCGCCACCTCGACAGGCTCGACTGCCGACCGCCTCGCCAAGCCCGTTGTATCGATCAAGCCCGCCACAAGTTAGCCCCCTTTGAACGCGCGCTATCCCCCCCCCCCCCCCCCCTTCATGTTATCCAAGTCGGGTCATTGAACGACCCTGCAGCGCAGATACAGCCACCTGGGTGGTCGACCACCACCACTCTCCACTTTACCCTCCTCAAACCACGCCACGCCACGCCACCCCCCCCCCCCCCCCCCCACTGGCAGACACAGCTACTCTCGGAGCACCACCTTCGCTCCTGGTGTCGTCGTCGGACGACGAGGCGTACGAGCGGCCGCCGCTCCCGCCGCTCCCCACACACCTGTTTGGCTTTGCGGTGAAGAAGGTGCTGAAGCGGAACCTGCTCCAGCTGGTCGCCGACAAGTTCTCGCTCTACGACGCATCGCCGCCTGTGGTTCCGCCCATTCCGGCCGCATGGTCCGATGACGAGCCGCCGACAAGCTACTCGTCCGACAATGACGATGATGACGACGATGATGGTAGAGGGACGTCGACGGCCGGTGGCGGGAGTGCCACTGGCGTGGCCACCGCTACCGGCTCGGGCTCAGGTTCGGACTCGGACGAGTCGGAGGCAAGCTCGGTGTCGGACGGAGGGCCCAAGCCGGCGTGGCTTGCCAACGCCGATCTAGACTCAGACTCGGCGTCCGAGACCGGTGATGGGCCGAGCGGACCGAGCTCGAACCTGCCCGAGTACTTTGCAGACGCCGGCACTGAGCTGGGTCTCGAGGTCTGGCGGGTGATCAAGGGCACGCCGACGCGACTCTCGGCCGATGAATACGGTGTCTTTTACAAGGGCGACGCGTACATTGTGCTCGGCGTGGAGGAGGTCGAGTATTCCAAGGTCTACTCGCTCTTTTTCTGGATCGGCGACTCGGTCTCGCTCGATCAGTCGCTCGCTTGCTCATTTGCCGCCCAGCAGCTCGGTCGCGCCCTCGGTGCCCGTGCCATTCGGCAGGACCTTGGTGACGAGTCCAAAAAGTTCCGTGAGTTGTTCTGGTTTGGCATGGACTTGCGCGAGGGCGGGACAAAGGCCGGCCTGCGCAAGGTGGTCAAGAAAAAGGTGCTCTCACTGTACCAGATCAAGGGCACGCGCAAGCCCAAGGTCCGCAAGCTTCCGGTCGGCATCTCGTCGCTCAATTGCGACGACGTCTTCCTCCTCGATGCCCACGACGTCATCTACCAATGGAACGGCAAGTCGGCGTCGATGCGGGAAAAGGGCAAGGCGCTGGACATGATCACCGTCATCCGCTCCGACGAGCGATCTGGCAAGGTCAAGTCGGTTATCCTCAACCACACCGGCTCGCCGGGCTCGCAGCTGACGTCAGAAGAGCTCGCTTTCTTCCGGCTGGTGGCGGACGCCGGCGCTGACCCGCCGCTTAGCGAGGCCTCGCCTGATCTCGACGCTGGCCTGCCAGAGCTGGCCAGCTCGGACGAGTCGGACACCGACTTTGAGGCGCGGGTCATGGCCTCGATCAAGCTCTCGCGCGTCGCCGAGTCGTCTTCAGGCAAGCTCAGCCTCGACACCGTGGGCGAGGGCGAGCTGCTCCGGCGGTCGGACCTCGACCCGTCGGCGGCATTTGTGCTCGACTCGTCGACTGGTATCTACGCATGGGTTGGCAAGGACTCATCCGACGCGCAACGGGCGGCAGCGATGCAGATCGCCAAGCTCTACCACACCCAGCAGGAGCGTCCTCCGTGGCAGCCGGTTCAGCGCGTGGTCGAAGGCGCCGAGTCATACCTCTTCAAAGAGTGCTTCAAGGGCTGGCACAAGGCCAAGGCAAGGGCCAAGAAGCATGCCATGAAGGCCAAGCTGGAGGCCCGCCGCCGCAAGGCGTCCGAGGCGAGGGCCAAAGCCAAGACCATCGCCACGCCGATGAGCGACCTCTTTAACGCCGTTATGGAGCGGCCGGCCGAGCGCGTGACCGACGATCCTGGTGGCGGCAAGCTGACCGTCATGGTTCTCGAGACCGACGTCCTGCAGTACGTCTTGCCGCACTCGATGTACGGCCACTTTTACACCGCCGACGTCGTCCTTGTCATCTACTACTATCAGACCGAAGAGACACCGTCGGAGCCAGCGAGCACCAAGTGCGTCATCTACTTTTGGGAGGGCTCGGCCGCTGACAAGCGGGTCTGGCTCTCGTTCCAGCACTCGTCTCTCAAGGCACGACTCGAAGAGTCGATGCAGCCGCAGGTCATTCGGGTCCGCGAGTCGCGCGAGTCGGCCCACTTTCGCTCGCTCTTCAACGGCCAGGTTGTCGTCCACTACGGCCACCTCTCGTGGTACGTTCCGATTCCTGCCGCGCGCCTCCTGCCATCGGACCACCCGTCGTTTGCAAAGTACGCCGAGCTCGAGCCAGATGCCGAGTTTAACAAGGATCGTCTCGCGCCGCCGACACCTCATCTGTGGCACGTCAAGGGCTTTGGCCCCGACTACATCTTTGTGCACGAGGTGCCGCTCAAGGCTGCAGCGCTCGACTCGAACGACGCCTTTGTTGCCCTCTCGCCACAGCAAGGCGCCTTTGTATGGGTTGGAAAGGCTGCGTCCGATAACGAGGTGGCGATGGCCAAGTTTGCCGCCCACGAAGTCGTCGCGCTCGCCAACACGCACCAGCTTGCCTCGCTCGACGATGAGGAGGCTAAAGACGCCTTTGTCCTCTCCCGCATCGTTGTCGCCCGTGAGGGCTCGGAGCCCGACGAGTGGTGGGAGCTGTTTGGCGGCGAGACCGCATACGTCACGCTCGCTGACCCGGACTTTGCGCCACGGCTCTACACCTGCGGGCAGGGCAAGAACGGGTTCGAGATCTCATTTGTCTCCAACTCGGGCCTCACGTTTGACGATCTCGACTCACGCTCGGTCCTCATGTTGGACGCCTTTTCGCGACTGTTTGTGTGGATGGGAGCGCGCGCGCCGCGTGGCGAGCCCGAGATGGCCCTTAAGGCTGCACAAGAGTACGTCGAGGCTGCGCTCGATGGTCGCGGTGGCTGTCCGGTCACCAAGGTGGTCGAGGGCGAAGAGCCGCTCGAGTTTACCAAGCAGTTTCTCGACTGGCCGCACGTTGTCAACGGCGCCAGTGGCGGCAACGCCGGGCGGCCCGGGCTCGGTGACCTCGGCTTTGGTGGCGGCCTACGCAAGACCAAGTTTGTGGATCCGCGCGCCGAGCGCGAGGCTCGACTCGAGGCTGAGGCGAAGGAGCGTGCAGCCAAGTGCGCCGCAGCGCTACAGGCTTCTCAGTGTACTATTCGGGCCACTGGCTTTGAGCTCCTTGTAGTCCAAGAGTGGCGTCAATGCGTGACATGCGGCATTGAGGGCGATCTTGTCGGCGTCTGTGCCTCGTGTGCTGCTGTCTGTCACGCCGGACACACACTGAGCGACGCTAAGACCGAGACTTTTTCTGCTCGTGTGGGCCGGGCGCAGTCGAGGGTGCCCCGCCTTGTGCCTGCCTTCCTCCTGGGCCAGAAGCTGGCGCCAGCGGTTAGAACTTGCGCAAACCTGCAGAGAACCGGCGAGACTGTTTGTGGGCGATTTTATTTGAGCTGCGACTTGGACTCGGTCCCACGCGGCTCGCGCTCCAGCGACATGGCGTACATGGTCCGCTCATCGACGGACGGCTTGCAGTCCTTGAGGAGAGCGCTGGCGAGGAACTCCTCGGTCTCAAAGAGGTAGTCAGAGTTCTGGTAGAGGGCGATCTTGGCAATGAGGGCAACTTCCATGCCGCGCTTGCCAAAGTTGATGAGGCCCTTGATGTAGTCCTCGTTGCCCTCGTCAACCATGGTCAGGTCCTGCAGCGGGAGGCTGAGGATAGGAATGGCCGGCGGATCAACCTTGGCCAGGTACGCCTGGTATGCCTTGTACGCCGAGTCTGGCGAGAGGAGCTCCTCGAGCTCCGCAAGAACTCGCTTGTTGTTGCGAGAGAGACCGGCACGGGTAAACTTGAGGCGGAGAATGGCCGAGTTATTGATGGCCCCGAGGACGGCAATGAGGCCAAAGAAGTTGTTGAGCCGGCGCAGATGGTCACAGAGCGTGACGATGCGGTTGAGGAGAGCCGAGCGGGCCTTGAGCGTCTCGCGCTTGACCAGCTCTTCCACGAGCCACATTCCGATCGAGTTGAAGAGGTCGATGAACCGGAGCAGGTTCTGCGCCTTGTGGTGGTACTTTTCCTTGGCCCACGCTTGGTTGAGGAACTCTGCAGGGCGAATGGACGAGTACATGTCGAACATGATGAGGGTGAGCTGGCGGGCAATCTCCTCCTCGTCGTAGTCCCACACCGACGGCGGGTCCGAGACCGACTTGGGCGGGATGATGGGCGGCGTCTCGAGTTCGGCGGCAGTAGTCCGCGGGCGGCGGCGGGTCTTGAGGAAGACCGACGACGCGAGCGAGGCCGTTTGGTCCTCGGCGAGGACCTGCTTGATGAACTTGAGGACAAAGGCCTGCAGCGGGGTTGAAAAGTCCGAGTAGCCCGACGGGAGCCACTTTTTGAAGACGTTGAGGATGCGGAGCCGGATCTTCCGCGTCCGCGCTGCGTAGGTTCCAAGGTCCTCCGACTCGAGCTTGGGCACGTGGTACCGCTCGACGAGCTTGCGGAAGAGCATCTCGGGCGTGGTAAACGACTCAAAGGTGAGGAGAAAGGCGTCCTGGAACTTGATGTCGTGCGAGTCGGGGTAGGTCAGCCGCTCGACGAGCTTGTTGAGCGACGCAGCCTCGATCTCGGGCAGGCCAGTGTCTGCAGACTTGGCTTCGGCAAACAGAATGTTGTCCTCCGAGTCTTGCGGCTCGTGCCAGATGTTGACGTCGTTGCGCGAGCGCGGGGCTGGCGGTGGGTCGCAGTGTGCTGCGATGACGTCGGACGGGAACACCTGAACGTCGACAACGGTGCCATGTGTGACACCGAGCTCGGCCAGGGTCGCCTCGAACGGGAGGAACTCCGAGTCGCCTGTAGAGAGGTACAGGTGCTGCGGCGAGGCCTCGCCAAAAACGCGGGCCGCGTACTGGACCACCCGCAGCGCCGGCCAGGTCGGCGAGACCTTAGTCTCAACGGTCTCACCCGAGGCGACGGAGCGGATAGAAATGGAGAACGGGGTGCACGCGTAGGTAAGGTACTCGTGCGGGGCGAGCTGGAGCGAGGAGAGCGCCGAGGTGATGGTGATCGGTGAGTCCCACTTGTTGTGCGAGATGGGAAGGAACATCGAGTGCGAGCGGCCGGGCGGCATGGGCAGGAGCTCCGACTTGCGAATCATGTTCTCGACCTCGAGCACGGTGATGTCAGGTGGGACAGCGGCCTCCAGCACAAGGTCGTTGGCGAGGGCGACGCGAAGCGGGGCAAAGCGTGGGCGGAAGGAAATACGCTTCTTGAGCGAGAGGCGATAGGTCGAGAGCCGCGAGTACGGGTTGAGCCAATAGCCCGGGTGCGACTCGGATGGCGCGACAAAGAGGCCATGGTGGCGGAGCGAGGCGACGCGGAACTTGCGGGCAATGATGAGGAGCATGGCGCCAACCGAGTGGCCGCGGTCGAAGCGGAGCTTGGTTGCGCCCGACTGGCCTGGAATGTCGATGTCAATCTTGAGGAGCAGCGGCTTGTGCACCGACGGTGGCGGCGGCCACGAGTCAAACCGCCGGAACTCGAGCGTGTCCGAGGTGAAGAGCTCGTACGAGGAGAGCGTCCGCTCCGGTTCCATGAACACAAACTCGCCGTTGAGAAAGAGGCCATAGTCGACAAGCTCGCCGGGCGAGATGCCGATGGCCTGCTCGCGGACAGCCTCTAGGGCGGCAGCAACGGTGGTCCGGTGGTCGAACCAGAGGTGGACGGCGGCGCTGGCCTCGTGGACCATGACGACACGGATGGAGCCGATGCGCTCGCGGAGCATGAGGTTGAGCTGGTCGCCGGGACGGACGCCGGCGTCGACAAGCGTCGCATCCATCGGCAGCCACGCCATCCGTCCGTCCTGGACAGCCGCGAGGCCAACAGCGTCCGGATCCTTGACTCGGAAAGTGCGGCAGACAAGGGCATGGGCCTCGGCGACCGGCGACGACGGAAAGAGGCGAATGGTGGTCCGTGACGCGGTGCACGGGACAAAAACAGCGAGGCCCATGGGTTTGGACGTCGACGGCGCGTCGTTGGCAAGGAGAAAGCGCGAATGTGCGGCAGCAAGTGGCGAGTAGGCGGCGGCCTGCTGCGGATCGACTGCGCCGACGACGGCGCCAGCGCGGTACTTTCGCGCGGCGCGCTCCTGGGCCTCGGAGGCGCGTGCGGCGAGCGACTCGAGCGAGAGCGGGCCCGTGAGCGCGAGCGAGCCGCGCTCGTCGAGGAGCGGCGGCCCGACCGGTGATGATGGTCCAGCGCTGTCAATGGTCTCCTGCGGCGGAAGGGCCGAGAGCGAGTCGTCGTCGCCCTGCGGCTCGGAGGCGTCGGCGGCCTCGGGCTCGGGCTCGGGCTCGTCCTTGAGGTCGTCCACCTCGCTCGGGTAGATCTGGAAGCACGACAACGGCGCCGGCATGAGCGGCGCGGCGTGCGGCGACGGCACCGCCTCGCCGAGCTCGTACGAGTCAAAGAGCGTGTTGAGGTAGACTGAGAACGAAAAGGCCGAGTCGCCAGAGACAACCATGCACATCGGCTCGGTCGGGAGCTCCGGCCCGTCGACATCGGTGAGGGCAGTGCGAAGGAATGACGGCTCCTTGACGATGGGGAAGCCCTTGGCGCGCTTGCGGACCACGCCGCGGATCTTACGCGGCCGGTACGAAGGGTCGACATGTGGCGGTGGCGGCGGGATGGGCCGGCCACGGAGCGGCTCGAATCGGTACTTGCGCGCCTTGCGTGCCACAGGCTCCGCGACCAGCGCCATACCGCTCGTCACCGACGGATCAATCATCATCGTCTGCACCCGCGGAATGTCTGCCGGCAGCACGTCCGGAATCGTGACCTGAGTCTCGACACCGTAGTTTGAGATGACCGGCGGAGGCGGTAGATCGATCGGGTTGGCGAGGTCGGTCATGTCCGGCGGCGGCGGCATAAACTCGTCCAGTTCGTCGGGCACGTCCGGCGGCAGCAGCCCGTCGAGATCCGACGTGTCCGGCGGTGGCGGTGGCGGCATGTCCTCGGTCGACATCATTGCGTCGAGTGCATCGAGATCCGACATGTCCGGCAGAGCAGGGGGGGCCGGATCGGCAGCAGGGGGAGCCGGATCGGCCGCAGGAGGAGCCGGATCGGCCGCAGGAGGAGCCGGATCGGCCGCAGGGGTAGCAGGCTCGAGGACGGGGATGGCAGCTGGATCGGGCACTGGCTCGGGCACTGGCTCGGGCACTGGCTCGGGAGCAGCAGTCGGCTCGGGCACTGGCTGGGGAGCAGCAGCTGGCACTTCAGGCTCAACATACGGGCCAACGTACGAGGCCGGGAAGAGGCCGACGGCCGAGGGAGCATCATTAGCACCCGGAGTAGAGGCGACCATGCCTGTCCACCAGTCATCATCGACTTTTTCCAGCACCAGAATCACATCACCAGCCGAGAAAGAGAGCTCGTCCTCTTGGTCGCCGACGCAGTCATAGTAGGCGACCACCCATTCTTTTCCGTCCTCTGCACACCAGGAGGGGCGCGAGCAGGATGACGAGAGGGAGCGCGAGAGGGACGGAGAGGACGAGGGGGGGGGTGAGTGGGGATAGTTTATGGATCTA